TGGCGGTCGGTCACATAAGCTATTAACATGCTTTCATTAAACAAAGGGTCCATTGGAAGTTTCTAGCCAGCGGCTGTACACGCTTAAAAAGGCATGATTTTTATCACAGCGTTCATTCAACAACTTTGAGGAGTGCATGTAATAGTTCCATCTTTTTTACATTCCATAAATATGTAAAATTAGCGAATAGGGCGTTTTAACGACCCTTGAATTCTTGTTAAAGGAAGCAGTGGCGCATTGGGTTCTGCAGTGCTAGACTTGCGAGTGCTCTGACCGCACCATTGTTCATGCCGTACCTTAGGTTTTGTAGAAACTTTCGAAATATCTGGGGACATGATATTATTACAAAGGATGAATTTAAGACATTATAGCATCGGCGCCAGGGTAAAAACCTTTTGGATTACAGGTAACAAAAAAAAGACCACCGGAATGGTTTTATGTTTATGTAGCTTTTCTTTATCGCAAGACCGCCATAGCTATAAACGATAATTTGAGATACCCACGATATGGAAGTCCAAAATAGAGATTATCGAGGTGTTCTATAAAAACTGATGTAGTAATATCTGTCATGGAATTTATGCAAAGCTGAAGGTTTCGCGAAAAATAAAGCTGTGCATTTAGCTCTTCTTTTCCTTATCCTACTTTTGTGACGTTACTAAAAGACCTCACACAACAATTTTCTACAGAAATACGGGAAGAAACCGCAAGCTTTCACATTTTGTGCTGGTCACATAGATCAATATTCTTACTTCAAGATCATGTCAAACAACTGCATAGAATTTCTGTAATAGGTACGTTAAAAGCTTTTAGTAAATAAGATTCGTTTCCAAAAGTAGTGACATGATTGTGGTGCAAAGACGAATCTTTGAACACAATACGTATCCCTGACCTCCAAAGATCAATTGTCGAAAATTGTTCAAACACGTCTTCTGTCGCAGATTAAGATCGCTTAATAGCAACGCGATTAGCTTTCTGCAACAAGTGAAGAAAATTCTTAGCAATTTGCTCATCGTAAAATGAGCGGAGTATGATTTTAACGATACCGTCACCTTTTGTTTTGACACAACAGACTTTTTCATTATTCAGATAGTAGGCGTGAATAACAGTGCTTTACAGCTGCTAAGATCAGAACTAATTTGATGTGGAAGTGTAAATAAACCGACATTATTACAGAGCAATAATTTTAGGTAGAGTTCAAGGACAGCCACGATCAGCACAATTGCTTTAAAATTGTGAATTGATAAAGAGCTGTAGATTTTTATGTCTAAAAGATGTCTGAAAGATAAACAGCATAATCTATTATGTCCCTTCTTAATTATTTTAAGACGACAACCACGCTCAATATCGTAATCGTTTCACCTAATTATGACGGCGACTTTGTCCGCCTATTGATCTTGTGCTTCATCGAAGTATTCAGCAATTTAACTTTCTCAACTACAACTTGCACGGCTCGTCTACGAGAAAAACATCATTTATCTGATTCTACTGTTGTGATTGCCATGTCTTTCTTCCAAAGTGGAATATAATGCTTCTATAATATCGCATTTTTTAATTTGAATTTCATGTTAAACGATGATGATCTAATAAAATGTCTCATCCCGCATTCAAGTTAATCATTGGGCACTTCAACACCCAAATCTAAAAAGATTGCACCAAACAAACCTTTATGTGAGCTTCTCAAACTGACTTACGACAAGGTATAGTGCATGCATTTTCAAGGTACTCACATTGTTTCGGTAACATTTATCCATTTGACTTTATTAAGTAAAAAAAAGTAAGGTAAGCGTAATTGTTTAAGCCACAGATCGTTACACAGTCCATCTGAGTTAAACACAGTCCAATTAAAATTGATCAATGTATCCTATCGTTTGATTTGTCCATCTCGGTAACAAGGACGATGAGGAAGTAAAAGAGACCGAGAAGCTAGGGCAGATGGGATAGTCTAATGATTCTTCTTATACGTGTGCAATTTCTCTCTTGCATCCTACCCTAGCAAATTGTACGTAAGCAAATCTTGTTTGTCGTGATATTGTGATCCCACTGACCTCCTAAACACAAAAATCAATATGTCCGTGTAAGTAGATCGTCATACGTTTTTGATACACTAATGAATAAGGATTTAAAGCGCTGTGACTGTAAATGCGATGAATCACCAACTTGGTCGGTTGCAAATTGTTGCAAGGATAATGATTTGACGCTCAAGTCGCCTGCACTCCTCTAGTCTTTTTGTTCTGATTTTTTTTGGATAGCGCAGAAGAGCTACATCCCTTATAGTGAGAGAAAGACTTTTGACCCTAGAAGTCACATAATTCTACGATACTAAGTGTCTATAAATTAAAGAGTCTACAGATCTGAGAAGTAGCTAGTAAACACTCATAGTTTATGTACGCTTGTATATCATCTAGCATTGGTTTAAGGACTAATAACGATACTAAGGAATCGTTCGCACAAGATGATCTAGCGTCTATGCCACAAGATGGCTCTGACTCTTTGTGATCTGCCGACATCTAGCACAGACACGTGGCAACTGATGATAAAAAGGGAACTGACCTTTTTTTGCTTAGCTTGGTCTGTGATAAACCTCATTCAACTACCTAATGCTAAGGTTAAACGAATGCGCGCCTTAATCTTCCGTCCATGACAATTTAATGGACGAAAAAAACACATTAATCTGTCATCAATGTATAAATAATGCTATTAGCTACGTCAACGATTACCAATAAAACATGAAAACGTATATCAAATGTATATTGTGTATCCCGTTCAGATGATTACGGACGTGTGATTTCGTATTAGCATAAAGCATGAAGCTTGAGCAGCATAAAGGCTTTAAGAGCAAGCGCCGACAAGTATGATGTACTTTCCAGCAGATTTTCGGTTATGAGTTATCAACCATACAGAGGATAACTCTCAACAACGACCGCTCTCGCTACTGTTTGCAAACTTGATAGGGACGGCAGCCGCGTGGTACCGATATTTTTAAATATGTGGTCCTTACGTCAGCAGCATTTTTTTCTTTTTTAAGTCAAAAAAAATTACAACAAACTGATAATATTTATCTTAGTATTTTTTTTTAATTTAGAACCAAATATTTAAATGATTGGCTATAAAGTTGGTATATTTATCACAACACAAATTTTTTAACTAAAAATAATACTAGAATTTGATTAGACTTTTTGCACTTTTTACGTTCTAAGAACTAAATTTGGGAATAAACTGCGCTTAATCGAAAAGAGAACTTTCGCGACCAGCTCTTACGTCAACGACAGAGCACCTTTACCTGTCTGGAAGACTACGTATTGGCGTTTCGCAATGTTATTTGCAAGATTAAAGACTCGTCGGACTTTGACAAGATCATGCATTTGCACAAGGGCATCGCTACTAAAATAAAGCGATGTACGAAGTTAAGGCAATTTCGTACGACAACGGATGTCATTTCATACGGCTTGCAATATGATCGGACGCACGCTACGCCATAGTTTCATCACGGACGACCCAGTCAACAGTCGTCGCAACGCTACTCTCTTCCTATACAGATACACATCGACAGAGATTCCAACTCCAATCGAGATTGTCAGTGCTAAATTTGTGTCACAAGCAGAGTGCATAAGCCGTAATCTTTGCCTTTACTGCAAGGAGCCAGGCCACCGTCTAGCTTTTTTTTCGCAAGGGTAAAGATCGCAGCAACAGACAAAATTCGGCTCGTTCTACCTACACTCGTAATTGTTTTCGAACGCATCAAAGCTTATTTTGTCGAATCGTGGAGCAAAAACATAATTACGAGGGCAAAGACGAGGAGGTAGACTTTGATTACAATCACGAGGAAGTAAAGAATACTGTGTAACTCCAAGATAGCATAAAGCTGAACATGGTATCCTTGGACACGACACACCGCGAACTTTTACGATTTAAGCGGTTCGTATTCTGATCGACAGGTGCGCCAAGAACACATCGTGAGGTTAGGTATTGGTATGCATTTTGTCGAGTCAACCAAGGAAACCGCAGAGTGATTCGACGGTACTAAGACAGCGGCACGCATAGCACAACTTTGTGTAAAAACACTTACATTTTTAGGGCGAGCTTCCTGACATCACTTTGATTGAATGAGAAGTGGCATCAAATCAAGACTTAATCATTGGTCATCCTCGGGTTATTCTTTTCAATCACATTATTTAAATTGGAAGACTGGGCCTACGGTTTTTGATCCGACAAAGCAATTCCACATCCTGCCAAGAAATCGATTTCGCCAGTTTACGCCTTACCAGGCATTCTAAAAAGCCATTCATTGCTGAGCCCTCAACGACACAGACAGCCAACGATGCCACCGCTCAGGTATTAGCAGATATGGAAGAAGTTGACGAAGCCGTTTTACACACTACTATCGAGTACGACGCGTAAATAGAAGTCTACAGTGTTCAATTCAAGACCTCACTTAATAAGAGGACGGTGCTCCCTCAGCGATAAACTGTTCTAAGTCAGTTTCCAGATATTTTCCCACCAGAATTGTCACCTGGACTACCCCCTGCACGTGGGATCGATCATGAATTCATACTGAAACTGGGTGCACATCCGAGCAATCGAGCACCATTTCGTCTCTCTGAGATTGAAAAAGCTCCTTTAGACATCTTTGTTGCCGATCTACCAAAGAAGATCTGGATTAAAGTGTTGAATTATCCGTGGGTATTTGACATTTTAAGGGTGCCGAAAAAGGATCCAACTACAGGAAAAATTCCATCCATCGCGTATGGACTGGCTACACTCGAACAATCCTCACATGGCTTTATGATGGGTCATCGACTATCGACTGGTTAATGCTGCTTCCGAAAACGCCAAGATTCCTTCCATACATTAAGCAGCTCTTTGATCGCATGGATGTATCCGTGTTGTTCAGTCTACTCAATCTTGCCAGCGGATATCATCAAATGCGAATGGCTTCTACTTCCAAAGCGTTTACTGCAATTCGTACAAACCACGAAATTTACCTCTGGGACGTTGCTCCGATGGGCCTTGCGAGCATGCCAGGAACGTGGACGCGCCTAATGCGCAAAGCTATAAGTCGTCTAGTGCCCGTCGTCGAATGTCTGGATGATGTTTGCATCTTTTCAAGATCCATGTCCGATTACGTCGACCATTTGCGGTATGTCTGTGAGATCCTTCGTTTTAATAAGTTTTGTGCTCTCCAGGACAAGCGCGACTTTGGTCAAAATTCGATTGATTTTTTCGGCCACACGAAATCATCCTTTGGCTTGCATGTTGACGCTCGCAAGACGCGGTCAGTTGCGGAACGGGCAGAGCCTGGAATCGTCACGGGCCGTCAACGGTTCTATGGCCTTTCTGTACATTATCGACGTTTCATTCATCACTTTGCAACCCTGGTTTTACCGTTGAGCTTGATATTTAAACAAGATGCAGTTTGGACCTGGGAGACAGCGCAACGACAAGCGTTTGATGCCATTAAGCTTGCGCTTCAATACGCACCGGTGCTTCATCTACCTGACTTCGACAAAATATTTCTTGTCCCAACGGACGCTAGCCGTGCCTGCTTTAATATTGCTTCTCAGCTGCACAATGGCAATGATCTTCCTGTCGCTTTATTCTGCGAGAAGCGGAGACCCAGCAAAATTAATTGGACAATTTAGGCCAGTAAAAGTTTGCGATCAAGCACGCGCTCACCCATTGGCGTCACTAACTTCATGACGTTTAGTTTTATATTTACACAGACAATCTGGCTTGCAGATTGTTCTTACAGCACCCGCGACTTTTATGTCGGCTAACAAGATGGTTGGATTGTTTTTCGTCACTTAATTTTACCCTTAATCATTAACCTGGCGCGATGGATGTTGTTGCCGACGCTTTGTCGCGGTTGCCTGCTGAGGCTCCTATCTCGTCGATAACGCTTTACCACACCAGTGGAGATTATTTATCGACATTAATAATGTGTACAACAAGTATGGAGTAACATCGTTCGCACGCACAGCATAATTGGAATTTAATCATTACAATGTTATCAGTAAACTCGATAAAATTTTTGCACATGATCAATAAATGAGGCTGGCCGTAAAATAACCTTTGTCACCATACCACGTAGTAGGTGCTGTAACGGGGTGAACTGTTACATAACAATTTAAAAGAAATTGTTAATAGAATATAACTATAAGAGTTATATTCTCAGAATATTGTCATAAGGACAAATATTCTGCAGCACTTACGAGTAGTTCCTAATTGGTTGATATAGGCCACTATATCAACCAACGAAGACGAGCCATGACAGACGCACGCAATGAGTGGTGAGCAGATATTTGACATACACATTTGTATTTAGACATAGTTAGATGAGGATAAACAGTGGTTTATTAACAGATATTAACTATACTAAATACAGTTCTACTTTTTACTCTAACCGAGTACTCGCTTCTTCTTACCGTCTTCCTCTGCACGTACGAGTGTACGTGAAGTTACGAGGCACCGCCTTATTCTGTTATCAGAATAAGTAGCTTGTACTGTCACCAGTACAAGCTTCAGGGTGCCCCGTTACACCTGGTAGCACTTCGTAGTCCGTCCAAATACCACGTTCACATCCAACATGAATATGTTAGATGATGAAGATGACCAAAGCTTTCACGCAAAGCGTGACGGCTACTCCAAGTTAAGCGATGTCGAATGGGATGCGGTTGAACGAATGGGTTCGACCATGGGCATCCATACTGTTAGCGTCATGCTAGAGGCTCTCAATAGAGATGCCCGACATGCTGCTATCGCCAAGTTCATTCAAAATGAACTTGACGCTGAACGCGAGAAAGTAGCCTTGCTTCACCAACAAGGTTCTCAACAAGCAGAGTTGTTGAGAGAACAGGGTGCTCAACATTTTGAACTGTTGATACAGCAGCAGGCTGCTGCTGGTGGGTCGATGCACTCGCGTCGACCCGAGACCTTGAAGATTGACATCTCCAAGTATAGGTGAGTCGAAGAGGACTCCCTCTTGAGATGGCTCGTCGAATTGGATGACGCCATAAGCGCGCGTCGCATCGACGACGGGGATATGAAAGTAGCATTTGCCCAATCGAATCTGGCAGGACGTGCCAAGACTTGGGCTTTGGGACTCAAGTTGCACAACCCATATGCGCTTGGCTCGTTGGAAGTCTTCAAGTCGCGGCTCAGACAAATGTTTGAACCGCCTGGAGCTGAGTTCAGAGCTCGAACCGAACTCTTAAAGCTCAAGCAAAGGTAAGCGTGATGTGCACGCTTACGCACAACACAGACGACATCTCACGAGTTGTATAAGTTCCAACCCGTTTGATGAACACACGTTGGTTTCGGTGTTCATGCAGGGTCTTGCGGATGGTCCCGTCAAGGCTCACCTGTTTCCGACTTGAACTAGATTCACTAGAACAAGCCATTTCCATTGCGGAACAGGAAGACATCAGTCTGAGACAGGCTCGCGCCAGCTCGACATCATATCGTCAACCGAGACGACATGACAGCGGAGGTACAGAGCCGATGGAACTCTGTTATGTAGAGAGCGAGGAGGCTCGCCCTACAGACTACAAGAAGTTGCAGAAATGCAACAGATGTCAGAAGACAGGACACTACGCTTACGAGTGTAGTGCCCCTCGTCTAGTGTCTCGCAACACTGGGCGTAGTGACCGTCCACCCATGAGAAATGGGCAGGGATGAGGGTCCGCTGTTGGTGCAAAGGCGCAACAACGGGATGGACCGTCAAAAAACGGACAGGATCAGTAGATGCCGAGCATCCTACTGATTCAGCAACGTCAAGAGAATTTGCAGGCCTCTTGACGAAGGTTGCTTCCAACACACAAACGTTGTGCGTTGCTGCTCTAGGTAATGAGATCTCACTCATTACCTTGAAACTCGAAGTGACGAATAAGTTGTCCCTTCGAGCTCTAGTCGTTGTGGGGCGTCTGACAATTTTGTGCAACGCCAATCGCTATAAGATGGTCACTTTAAGTTCAGTGAATGTGACACTCCTCCTACGAGGATGACGGTACGTCTTGCGACAGGCGCATCCGTAACCGTCATGAAGCGTATAGTGAATATCCACTACGCGCTAGAAGATACCCAATATGACGATGACTTTATCGTACTAGATTTGGATGACAAATTTGATGTCATCCTTGGAATACTGTGGCTCAGAAGGAACGAACCACGGGTAAACCGGCCACATCGAACAATAACGATGCCTGCCGCTTGTTCACCAGATGGCCATCTGATGAACGTTTTGGAGCGTCCACAAGCGTGTGGATGTACTACGAGTGAGTGCGATGGCCTCACTTGTGGTACGGTCGTTAGTACGACTGCACAAAACCTTAGTGTGACAAACACTTACACTTCGGAGCAAAGTTCCGGCGGCTGTGAGGAAACACAGGCTGCGCCCGAAGTTCCACCACTCGAATAAGTCAAGTGAACCGGGACAAAGATTTATCCCTAGCAGGGAACATCTTGAAGAGAAAATATCGATCGCTCAGGTTAAGCGAAACGATAACCCTCGATCGACTGGAGAGTCTTTCGTAGAGGATCTCGCTATGGTTGCGCAACCACAGCTAGAGGAAGTAAATGGAATAAGTCCCAAGCTTACAAATGCGGCGGAAATAAGTTCCCCGAAACCCGCGGGAATAAGTCCCCGGGAAGCCGAAAGAATAAGTCCTTCGAAGCCTGAGGGAATAAGTCTTTAAGAAATGACAGAGGCATTGAATGTCCTAGTCAATGACGGATCAAGTGTAGGCGCTTATACACTTGATCTGATTGCGCCTCCGAAGTTGACTTCGGAGACCACTCAGTTGCCAACGCTCGAACATAAAAGGTTCTTGCATGATCTGCGTAGTGGCAAAGTCAAGCAGATCTGCGTACTCGTCGCTGACGACGAGTGTGTAGCCGACATAAGGTCAGCAACAGTGCTCACTGAGAACGAGAGAGTTCTCAGTAGTTCATTTATGGACGAGAGTGTCCTCGATGAAAAGACACGAGTTGAGCGATATGACTCCCAATCGTGGGAATCGCTCACGCCATATCCTCTCTATGAAGATTTGGTTGAATTCAAGGATGCATTCCCTCAAACTGTTCCGTGCGAGTTACCGAAGGATAAAGGTGTTCGACACGAGGTCGAGCTTAAACCAGGCTCGAAGTACTGTGTCATGAAGCAGTGGCCACTGTCTCGTGAACAAGTACTTGCGATCGACAAGTTCTTTGCCGATCGTTTAGCTGCGGGCCATGTGAGGGAATCAACTTCCCCACATAGCTCTCCAACCTTCTGTGTGCGAAAAGCAACAAGAGGGTGGAGGATTGTGCATGCATTCATAAAGTTGAATGCTGCAACGGTACCGGCTCAGACGCCGATACCAAGGAAGGACGTAATCATTGATGGGATGTCAAAGAGTACCATCTTTTCGTCCATGGATTTGATGGATGGCTTCTATCAAATTCTAATGCGAGAACGGGATATATGCTATACCGCAGTGAGCACGCCTAGCGGCATGCTCTGGGAATGGCTAGTAATGCCACAAGGGCTTAGTAATGCCCCTGCCAAGTTCAACAGATGTGTATCACATCTGTTGAGACCAGTACGAGAATTCGCGCCAAGTTATTTCGATGACGTTTTCATCCATAGTCGAGCTATGGATGGAAAGTCGGAAGTTGAGGTTCACAGGTACCACGTCCGACAGGTTCTTACAATCATGCGAAAGCATCAATTGTATGCAAATCTCAAGAAGTGCAAATCTCAAGAAGTGTATATTTGCAGCAAGCGAAATACCACTTCTTGGGTGCATCGTTGGTAAGAACGGTGTACGTCCTGGTCCCGAAAAGATCAAGGCGATCACCGACTGGCCCGTGCCGGTCGATGTCAAAGGTCTTCGAAAATTCCTTGGGCTAGCGGCGTATTTGCATAAGTATTCACGCAATTACGCCGAGATGACTGTACACCTCTCTCGTTTGTTGAAAAAGAACGAGAGGTGGTTATGGAACGCTTAATGTCAACGCTCCTTTGAGGGTATCAAGCAGAGCTTGATACAATCCCCAGTCCTAGCAATAGCCGATCAGGACAGGCCGTTTCATGTGGTCTGTGATGACAGCGATTTCGCAATCGGCTGTGCATAAATGCAGTAGGATCTTGAAGGAGTTGAACGCGTCGTCTGCTATCAGTCGCGTCAGCCGCAACCAGCTGAGAGGAAATATCAGTGCTTGACAAGGAACTCCTTGCCATGAAGTATGCACTCGCGAAGCTCGGAGTCTATCTATTAGGAGATAGACCCTTCATTGTTTACACTGACCACGCGTCGTTACGCACGGCAGTAAACAGCCCGCACCTTTCACAACAAATGGCACGGTGGTTGTCATTCTTTGCAGAATACAACTTTACGGTCGAGTACAAACCAGGACGACTTAATGTCGTCGCTGATGCACTCTCACGTCGGCCCGACTTTGAACCAGTCGTGAAACCCAACAGTGGGACAGCCACTGTTGCGGTTATGACGTCCACAATACCATCTTCAACGTTACATGATGATGCGAGGCGGGCGTATGCCCAAGATGGTGAGATTGTAAAGTTGCTGGCACATCTCTCACAACCATCTCGAGAATCGTTGAAACGATTATCGTCTGCGTATCGATCTGCATCAGATCGATACACTACTCGCAACGCTTTACTGTATTCAACAGCCGTTTCTGGTGACACACCACGTGTTGTCAATCCAGATGATACTGATCTGCGTTTGCGGATCATGTTCGAGTATCACGATGCTCCTATAGGAGGACATCGTGGCCGGAAGAAAACGTATCTCACGGTGAGTCGAGACTTTTACTGGCCCCGCCAGTATCAGTTTGTGCGAAAGTATGTTCGCGCATGCGAAGTCTGTCAACGAGTGAAGTCAAGTCCTTCACTGCGTGCACCTTTACAGCCTCTACCAGTTCCGGCAGAGTGCTGGGAATCCATCTCAATGGATTTCGTCTTCGGGTTACCCAAAGACGCACGCGGGAATACGGGTATTCTCGTATTTGTTAACAGATTCAGCAAAATGGTACACCTTGTGGCTGTACCCGAGTCAATCACAGCAAGTGGCTGTGCTTGTGTCTTTATCGACACCATCTTCCGACTTCATGGGTTACCCCGTGAACTTGTATCAGACAGAGATCCGCGCGCACTGCTGATTTCTGGCGCTCCGTGTTCAAATCACTCGGGACGCGCTTGAAGATGTCGACATCTGGTCGTCTAGAGTCAGATGGTCAGACGGAACGTGCCAATCGTGTCCTCGAAGAGACACTTCGAGGATACGTACACTCCTTTAAGAGTTGGAGTGAGTTCTTGCCAATGGTAGAGTTTGCCATTAACATCTCGGTGCATGCGTCCACGACACATACACCGTTTTACGTGAATGGCTTACGCCATCCGCGTGTACCCACCTTACTAGAGTGTAACTCTGGTTTAAGGGGGGAGAGACTCGCGCGAGCAAAAACCGATTTAATTCACGCTCATCACGCTCTGACGAAGAGGTCATTGCGTTTGATGCCGATATCGATAACATCGATATCGACGAAGATGATGCCAGTGAGAGCGCGGAAGCCCTCACTGAAGAAAAGGTTGATGTTGCTGCAGTGCGCTCACAGCGCACTGAAGCTAACGAGTCATCAGATGAGTTCATACTGGCTCGTGAAACGGTAGTCCGTTTTGTGCAAGACTCCATCGCCGAAGCGGTGGATAAGCAAAAGCAAAACGCTGACAAGAATGGAAGGGCAAACACTCTTTTATTTAGTAAAGGTGACTTAGTCCTACTGTCTACGGTTAATCTACCAAAGCATGTAGTGACTAACTTGGGAAGCAGTAAACTTCTACCCAAGTACATCGGCTCATTTCGTGTATTGCACCGCCTAGGCAATGCGTACACGATCGAGTTGCCACGTAAGATGCGAACGCATCCCACGTTTTACGTTGGTCGGCTTAAGCCGTACCATCACTACGCTGCTTCTTCCGATGAAGAACGCCCTTGCGCTCAAGCCTTTCGCAGAGAGCCTTGTGCTCCCGTTAATGGGCATCGACAAGGGTCTGAAGAGCAGTTATCTCATCCCGAGACCGATCAACAATCCCACAAGCTACCCTTAGCTCGTCACGAAGAGATGTCAGAGCTCTCTCGCTCTCAAGATTAACAAAAGCACACTCAGCTCGATGCTTCAAGACAGCGTTCGCCATTTGAAGACGCCTGTACCGCTAATGCTCGAGGT